ATAAATCAGACCGTATTCCAAAATATAGCTTCAACATAACTACAACATAAAACACACATATCACAGCCTCTAGTAATTATGTCCACACAAGCATGTATATGCAGAAAAGCGGAGTATCATATACCATGTATCCAATTGTGAAAGCAGAATAACACATATATTTTTATTACTTCAAAGATATTACACAGTAGCTCAGCATTATTTTACTTTCGTTTTTTGCTTCTAACAGTACTTTCCGATGTCTTAATACTTTGCTTAGTTTTGGGAAAACATCTTTCACTAAACATATGTCCATCGTCTGTTACTAAACTACCGAGATAGCTTTCTGTACCTGCTGAATTTTTCTTTGTCAGGGTACAGTGATGTGTCCTTTCCAGCATCTTTCGGAACACTAATTTTCTTGGCGGTACCCCCCTCCTCTCGACGCTTTATATGGCAGGTTGCACTGGGTTACTAAGTACCAGCAACAGAAGAAATCTTTTGGAAAAATGGATTCATGTTTTCTTTAAAACAGTATCGTTTCTCAGCCTTTAAAGGTCCATTGTTGGATGTAGACTGACCCCAGACCTCGCCATCTTTTGCCATTTATAAGGAAGAATGGGCCACCGCCCTACCGTGCTTTAGGCTGTCTCTTTTACTGACGAACTTAAGATTGGGTTTTTTATAGTTAATAATCTTTATTCTTGCTTTCTATGACTGGTACGATATTTCTGACTCAAGAAGTTATGCTAACTTGAATTCTGTGTTGATGATACATGTACACTCAGAGGATCACACTTTGCCTTCTTTTCTAGATTATTTGTCTCTTCATTAAAAGATGCTGGAGGTTGTTATCCGCTTGATAGTCAGGCATCCGAACTTTTGAGTAACTTCGAAGGAAGCTATCTTATCAGCAGATGTATAATATCAGGGCCATTGTACTACATTTATTCAAATGGGTTATAGACCGTGTAATATCCTCCGGTGTGTCCTCTCTGTGCCATGATGAAGAGTACTATTACAGCTGCACCCCCGGACGATTCAATCCAGGTTGTTGGTGTATGCATCTACTGTGGATGTGACTGTCTTGCTACCTAGTCCATCTACCGAACACACTGCTTTCTAAACATAAACACAACTATAAGGTAACCAAAAAGTTATGTCCGTTTTTTGATTATATCATTGAATGAAGTTGAAATATATCCGAAATGTGTGTAGCAATTGTTTTCAAATTCGGACAGCCGGAAGTAGGAACATCAGACGTTATAAAAAACACGCGCACCGTGCCCGGCCATCAGTTATAAGCCGGACAGCTGTGAGAAGGAAGGACGTGTCTAGAGATCTCGTTCGGGGCTGTTTGCTTTACGACTTCAAAGTGGGCTTATCAGCAGCTGCATCAAGTCGCCGCATATGTCAAGCGTTTGGGGATAGTGCTATGCATGAACGTACTTCAAGGCGTTGGTTTCGAAAATTCAAGTCGGGAGATTTGTCTCTCCATGATCAGCCTCGCAGTGGACAACCACAGGTCTTGAATGACGGAGTCCTGAAGGCGGCCATTAAAGAGGACAGTAGTCTAACGTGTGGTGAACTTGCAAGACAGTTCAACGTTTCCGATGAAACAGTTAGACCAGTTAGACTTCACCTGCACCGCCTAGATAAGACGTACAATCTGAGCAAGTGGGTTCCGCAAACGCTGTTGGAGGTCCACAAGGGACAAGGAGTGTCAGCTTGCGTATCGCTGCTTTCTCGCCACCGTACCGCATCCTTATTCAATCGAGTGCTTACCAGTGATGAAAAGTGGGTTCTGTACGAAACTCACAAGCGTTCCAGACATTAGTTGTCTCCTCAGGATGCTGTCCCTGACACCGCAAGACCACCTATGCACCCACGCAAGATTATGCTTTGTATCTGGTGGACAGGTCGTCAAGTGCTTCATTATAAACTGCTACCAACGGGCCAAACGGTCACTGGAGACCTATACTCGCAGCAACTGAAACGTGTGCAACAGGCATTGCGCCTGAAGCCAGCACTGGTGAATTGCAAAGGTGTGCTTTTCCTCCATAACAACGCCAGGCCGCATGTCGCGCGAGTGGTCAGGGATACCATACAGCAACTTGGGTGGGAGACTTTGTGCCATCAACCTTATTCACCTGACCTTACGCCATCCGATTACCACCTCTTCCACTCCCTGGATAATCATCTTCGTGGGAAATCCTTCACCAATGAAGCAGACTTGCGCAAAGCCCTCACGGACTTCTTTGAGTCACCCCCCCCGCCGAGTTCTACCGCAAGGACATTGACCAGCTGGAGACACGTTCGCAGGTGCTGGATGCCGATGACGATTACTTCGAAGACTAAATATAAGTTACACATACTCTGAAGCGTTTTCTTTTTTCCTTTAAAAACGGACAGAACTTTTTTGGTTACCTTGTAAATTGAACACAAACATCAAATTCAACCCCACAGAAACAAAAGTAGACCCTAGGTTCATCATCGCCTACACCAATGTGAGGGGTCTACGTTCCAAATTTCCAGAAATTGAACTTCATCATTTTCTATACCAAACCTGACATCCTATTCCTGTCTGAAAGAGGTATGGTGTAGGAACTCATAATCCTAGGCTATTCACCCTTAACAGCTAAATATAACCATCAAAATCATTACGGATTCGGCGCCTGTATTAAGGACGGATTTTCATATGGCAGAGACAAAAAAAAAACTTGGACCCTGATATGTGCTTCGGTGTGGCCCTTATCTACAGTACCAATTTCATTTTCATTCTGTATCGTCCTCAATATGATGGAACTGTAATGTTCGACCGAATATCTGAGACGATTGATAATATTCTCACTGAATATCCTTCACCTTTGCTTTCATACTTATGGAGGTTTCACCATTCACCACAAAAATGTCCATTCGAACAAAACTCATGAAGAAGGCAGATACTGCAGAGACTTCTCCGTCGCTTATGAACTAAGACAGATGATGGAAGAACCCACCAATGTTCCTGATGCAAAAGGACATAAGGCGACACTCCTTGACCTTTTCCACACATCCTGTCCAAAAAATGATTCGCTGAATTTATATCCCCGCTCCTTGGAAACTTCAAATCGTTCAACAGTCAGTGTCAAAGTTACCGCTAGACCAAAGGCATCCCTTTATGTCCTGTCCCATGGAACAAATCTTTGGTATATGAAAGCCGACTGGGACAGCTACAGATTTTTCTCTTCCAGCCTTCTTCAAATATACAGCCTCCAAAACTGGTGTCCTTGTCTCGGAATGATTACTTTCCGGAAAGGAGCGCCAGAACCCCCCCCGCAAAAAAAAACAAGCAAAATCTTAATAGCCAGCATTGGTTCACTCCTGAACATGCTGCAGTAATAGTTCCCCGTAATCACTACTACAATATTTATCACAGAGAACGGTGTAGTAGTAGACTTGCTACAACCACTTGAGCGACTAACAGTATGGGTTTCGATCGGCTAGGCCCACTGCTGATATCCTTATTTTCATTATTTACAGAATCAGTGAGACTAGACAACAAAGATATATTAAGGATGATCGTATTAGATATTTCAAAGACTTTTGACAAGGTGTGGCATAAAGGTTTTCTATCTATGTCATAACGAGAAGAATCTTCTCAATTATAAAGTCCTTCCTAACGGGTAAAAGGTAGCGGCATGTCCTCCAAGGCCCAAGTGATCAACGCAGGCGTCCTTAAGGTTGTCTTTCTAGGTCCAACCCTCTTTCTACATTACATAAATGACCTGCCTAAGAGGATACTCCGATGTGAATATCTATGCTTATGATTGAACGGTATATGGGTGCACCTCCAAAACCAGAGGTTAGCAGTTGATCTCTCCTCTGACTTAGCTCTAGCAGCTCGGTGGGGAAAAATTGGATGGTCCCATTCAATGCCTCGAAAAAAAAAACTTCCACCATTACTGAACAGACACAGAAATTTCACCGATCGCGATGAACGGATGTTCCCTTAGGGTGTCCCCATGACTTGAGCAACTAATGAGATTTAAACTCATCCAGAGCACGTGAAACTCGTGCATACCATCTATCGGTAAAGATGCTGGGAAAATGGTCGGTTCTCTGTACCTATCCAGTAAGTACCTGACTCCTCGTGTTATCCTCTATCTTCACAAGAGTTAGATCAGGCCGAAAATGGAGTACCGCTTGCTATATAGGGAGGGAGATGACCAGTTTTCACTTTCCAGTTTCAATAGAATACAAAAGTGTTTCCACGTCCTTGTGGGTGATGGATTATTTTTAACCCTGAAATCCTTTTCCTCATAGACGAAACGTGGTAAGCTTCTCACTGCTCTATCACTATTTCCATTGAAAGTGCTCAGACGAATTGCATTCCTTTGTTCCACCCATTTAACATTCACGATCCGCCATACCACGCGCATTCTTGCGAACCACCCTCATTCCTTTGCTATTCCAATGGTGAGATGTATGTTCTACTTGAACAGCTTCTCATTGTTGTGTGGAAGCGACTCCCAAGATGATGCTTTCCTGATCACTACAATTTTAATCTGTTCGAGTATAGGGTTAACCGTTATCTTCACATATTCACACAAATTGTGCCTTTTACTCTGTAACCCTCTACCTCGAATGACTCTTGGGCCTTATGCAGGTTGAACATCATTCTAAAAAAATACCTAAAACACCTAGTTTCAGAGTTTCAGTTTTAATTCTGAGTCTACCATCAACATAAAGTCATCCACATATCTTTGATCGTTAAATTGCTTGATTCGTTTTTTTATAGCTTATCAACCCATTGCAAGTTATTTAAAGCCAGTAAATATGTTTAGATTGTAACAATTTGGAGCATGGAGATAATACTGGTTTAGCGATACAAATCTTAATAATTAACCCATAGCTTGGAGGATAACCTATCCCAAGTGTATTTGCCCGTAACAGACTATAACGAACCCAACTGGAATTAAAACTCGCCTCTCCGGTTAACAATCCGAGACGTTATCCATTACACTATCTGTCTATCCGAGCTTACAGAACCTTGTATTCCCAAGCTGTCACCTATCTATGTACTGACCAGGCTCGACGTTGCTTAACTTCGGTGGTCATACGGGAACCGGTGCTTCAACGTGATATGGCCGTAAGCCAAATCGGTTGTTTAGATAATCCGACGTATGAGCTTTTGAACGAGAACTGTACGAAATTTCATAATTTAGATTTCATACGACATTGTTTTTAATGCCAATGCGCTGGTCTGGACTAATAGGAAATGCAACTACTCTCGTCGCCCTATACTTACGGCCTTGTGCCAAACTAAGTTAAACTAAGTAAATTACCAATATATTTTCAGCGGATTTACGAGACCAGTGAAGCATAATGATGTATTTAAAGGAGCCATTATATTTTGTCTCTGAAGTGAGTAATCATCCACTTTTTTTTTCTCAAAGAAAAACAAAAAGTTTAATTTCACCGCAGAAAGTAACAGAAACGTTTTCTTCACTCACCGTGCGAAAAAAAAAATTTTCCCATTTCCAGATCAGAAAAAATATTTGTACAAGAGCAAAAATAAATAAACACTTTCATTATTTTTATTTTTTTCAGTAAAATATTATCTTAAAATTACGTGCTCCTGAAACGCCAGGTTCTAACTAGCCCACCCAGAGGTCAGTTCGTTCGTTGAAATTTGACAGCAAAGCAAAGGTCATCTGTCACATGGCTTTTAAATTCAACAAGTTGATACCTAATATTAGAAGCTCGACAACTGACTAGCTTTTGTATGTGCCGTTAATATCCACCAATATATACTTCATGTCCCTCCTTACTCTTCTATAAAGGAGAGTAACTATAGAAAAATGGACGTAATTATGATCATCGTTTTCCTTACCTGGTCCAGCGGGCCACCCAGGGAGCTTAAGCCTTAGGGAGCTGATAGGTATGGACACGTAGCAATAGACCCATCTTTCAGGTGTTGACAAATGTGCTTGTTTAAGTGAGGTCACGCTTGCAGACCTGTACGTTCACTCAAACAACCTTGCTGGATACCAAATCTCTAATTATCAATCGTACACCGAAAGTCTCCGTCTTTCTGTTTGTAAATTTTGAGAATTTTATATAAATAAAATATATCACATGTGAAAAAAGTCAGCTAAATTACTTTTTTTTCCCAACGATGCTTAATATTTTCCCTCCCCTTGGACATCTATTTTTTTCTCACCTTTCTGTGACTTTCTTGTGTGGGGGTCAGCTAGTACTAATGTTTTGTCTGCAGAAACTCATCATTAAATAATAATAGGTATGAAAAAAATGTAATTGAAATATAGTTAGCTCTCCTTTTCTCTCTGTGTATTGTGTCCCATCAGGACGCGGGAGATCATGGTCCTCCACAGCTTCCTTTTTTGTTCTCAGGAATACTTTTTCGTAAGCTTCCTATTTCTCTTTCTGGTACTTGATTATCCAACGATTTTCAGGTGAGTGTTAGTTTCCTCAAGAATCCTTTTCCTCATTATTTGTCTCCTAAATTTCAGATTTATCTTTGTGATTGTTAGTGGATGTCAGGATGACAGCTGCTTGAATGAGAAATCGGAGAACTGCGTTCGAATTCCAGTCAAGTTAGTTACATTCACTTATGCGCAAAGGCACTTGAGAAAAACATAAATTCATCTTCTTCCTCATCTATGGATTAAATAGTAGCACTTGTATATGGAAACGTTATCGTTATTCTTAAAATAATTGTTAATATATTTTTTCGCGAAAATAATACTATTCTTAAAATCCAACATATGTTTCTGCTTTACATAACCCATAAAGGGTTGATAAGCCGTAAAAAACAAATCATTTCAGATTTTTAATAACAGTTTCTTTGCAGTTCTTAGTTCATTAGAACTTCCTCATTTGTTTTATGTTCTGTTCAGGATTTTCTCTGTAGAACCACATTCCGATTACCTCATGTCTTTATTTTTAATTTGTAACATTTTAACTATCTGGAAAGTGTTTAAACAGAGGACCTCATTTGTTGTATGTTCTGTTCATGATTTTCTTACAAGAACCACATTTCGATTACCTCATGTCTTTATTTGTAACAGTTTATCTGGAAAGTGTTTTAACAGAGGAAGGAAAGTGCGACTCTGAAATCCGAAAACGCATTGGGATAGCCAAAGATGCATTCCAATAGCCCACCTGTTGTTTATACTGCAACTATGCTGAGCGGACCTCAGTTATAGTTTCTGGGAGAGAGAGCGCGTTATCTACCGAGATCAACAGTCTGAACGAGGCTAGCACGTTCAAACCCTCAGTCACGATGACTTGTGACTTTGTGCTAGCACAACCATCGATGGGTTTCGTCTACTCAAATTAATTCACCAGGCTTGGGTCAACCCGTGGTATGTTTTTTTCAGGCACTTTCTAAAGGTGCCGCACGCTGGTATCATCTCCTCCAGACCAATATCTATCTATCTATCTATCTATCTATCTATCTATCTATCTATCTATCTATCTATCTATCTATCTCAATCTGTTCATGTCTATCTATCT